GAGCCACTAGGAAAGTGTAGATATTGATTCTGGCGTACGCCAGCGAACGGCATTTTGAGCGTTTTCGCGGGCAAATTATAGCTTTTGCTGGCAGTCGCTGAAAAGAGTGTATGCTCGAAACGTTAGATTGATATTCAAACTTTCCTAGTTGCTCGTAGCGCTGCTGTACGGGATGCGCTGCCTGCGCACCTGGCATGCGCTAGATCGCTACTATTTCCCTAGTCGCTCGAAAAGCTAAAAACGCCATACGCTCAAAACGCTAAAAACGCTGCCATGCGCTCGCAGACGCAAAGTATGATCACAGCCGAGGCTGTGTTCAGACCCTAACATTAGATACGTATCAATTCGACGTCGAGAACGTCAATTACGTTGAATATGCTGGCTGCGTCGGATCAATGCGAATCTAATCTTCTGTCGCTGATTACATCGGTGACGACGTCGAACGACGTCCTAAGGTATGAACGCAGCCCAAGAATCGTGTTCTGATAGAATGAGAGATGATCGTGAGCGGGTGGGTGAGAATTTTTCTCTAAAAGCACGTTTAGACCTCGCGATCGCGCGACCTAGTAGATCACGACCGAGGCGCTCCACCGCCAATTGCTGAACCGCTGTAACAACAGAATTCAGTTGGACGTTCGTGCACTGCTCCATTTTTCTTCTATCTTCATGCGCACACATGCTTGCGTTTTTTAGGCGTTCTGGAAAGTGTGTTACTTATTAAAGTGTTGTTTTCCTACTTCTGTTGCAGTTGTATCTTTTTAGATTCTTTATGGCGGTTGTCCAATTGGCGGCGGAGCGCCTCTGGTCGCGATCGCTCGAATGGATCGCGCGATCGCACAATCTGAACGCGCTCTAAGTTGAGTAACGAGCTTCTGGGTGTGTAAACCGGTTCACTCATTAACGTTCCACTGCATTGGAAGTCTGCACCATGACGCATCACCTTATTTAGCTGTATCTCCTTTTTTCTAACAGCAAGTTCAAGATAAAAACGTGGGAAGATCACTGCAATGTGAATTGGTTGTTCTATTTCAGGAACTATTTCGGGCTCCGCTGTAGTCGTTTCTGTAAAACGTTGGCCGACGGAAACACTAATTTCACCTGTTCGGAAAATGGAGAAAAGATTTGTCGACCAGGATGGGCAGGAGAGAATTGTAGTTAGTATCACAAGTACAGAAATGAATCTGTCTTTCTTTTCATGCAGCTTTGCACTTTGAAGGCCGAATCGAGGAGGACGGTGGTGGAAATCTCGTCATATCGCGATTGGTGGGCGGGAAACACAAGTCCCATGTTTTTCCATCCATGAAGCAACACACCGGCAAGCAAATATTTGTTCTGAGTGGTGATTTTTTCGTTTCTGTTTTTAAAATGGTCTTTCGCTTTGGCGTCTGCCATCCATGAGTCCCGCTGGAAATACGGGGGTATCCAAGGCAGGGCATGGACAGTAGAAAACTCATATTTCGCCTTTTGAGTGTCCGTGATGAGAGATGACACAGATGTATAAATTCTTATATTTCAGTACACTCTTGAGGGATGGGCCGAAACAATTCACATATTCTCAATAAAAGGACAAACTGCGATATACTTGAGTGATAAGCACGTCGCCTCTATTCCTAGACCCGTCCGCACGGCGCGTGTCGCGCGCGGTCCCCTTGACACGCTGCCGGTTTCACTAGTGATGGGCGCTATTGAGAAGCAATCTCACTGATGTAAAGAGTATAGCTGCTTGATGAGGGATAAGATAACCATGAAGCCTAATACGTCCTACAAGTGCGAATTCATCGATAGGAGATGAGAGTAAGGAACATGCTCTTCTCCTGTAATATGTTCCTAGAAATCCCCATCATGAGACAAAAAATGACGACGGTAAGGTAAACTACAAGACTCGGGCACTTGAGCATACGCGCGTGGATCCCGGCCCGATTACCGCTGAAGAGGAAGCGCGCGCATGTCATACGAAACCACGCACAACGCGAAGTATTAGAGCGCTCGTAATTTGAAAATCGAAGAAGGCTCGTATTTTGCACCATCGAAGAAGCGATCAGTATTCTGTTGATCGAAACGAGGCGACCACTGTTTTGCACGATAGGAAATCAGGCGCGCACCTGACGAATTTTAGAGGCAATTAAATGTTTCAATTCGAAATGCCTAAAATGGCTTGCTGGCTATTATAATGTACACTTTATTGAATTGAGATCACCCATTTAATAGCGGAGTGAACCCTTTTGGTTCCCACTGTGTGTAATCATTTTTCAGATGTCAAATCACTGTAAGGAGATGTGGAAGTCTACGATGAATCAACGCAACTTATGGGGTCAAATCCCAAAAGCTGGCCAAAGAATGCTTTCACCACAGAATAGCTCTAGTCCTGAAGTCAACCAGGTCAGGAGGTCTTGTTCGGTTCACTGAGGAGGATATCGAATTATCTGAACCATTCCCCAGTTGAAAAGTTGCAAGGCATACAAGTCAAAAGTGGAGACACACCTCCTTTTCCCCAGCTAGAGTACTGTCAGAAGCGTTGCTTATAAATGTGCCCCATGCTTCGCATTGCTGAAGGCGCACTGTATATATCACCGACAAAATGTTACCCCCTAACGTGGCATGTAACTGCAGGACCCGCAAAATGAACGTGCCAAATTGCTTGAATTGCTGCGACAATGATGAGGTGTACAGAGGCTGTTTCCAACTGCTTCCTGCAGATCTTGTAAGAAGCCGTTTCGAGCGCAGATTGCTTTAAGTTAAGGAAGCAGGTAGACTTTGAAGGAAATGTCCCCACTTTGATGGGCGAGGTGCCTAAACATGATAAGGAGACGTTTGTTCCTCCTTACTCGACTTTACCTCCAGTTCAACGGAAATTTAGTGGGAGACGCCACATCATAAACATTATTGTACAAGATTCGATGCTTTTGTGAGTATAGTGTGGTGATATTCCCATGTTGAGTTCATAGTAGTCAACTTAAGATGCTACTCGCTGGTCGCGGTGGTTGATTATGATGCTCTAGCGCCGAAACCGCGCCGCGACCGCGAAGCTCCTAAAGGGCCGGGGGATGCATCAAGGTGGCCGAGTCTGTAGTTTACCGTCATGGACAAAATGACCAACTTTGATTCGAAATTGGATGACTGAAATAAAAACCCTGGGCACCACAATATCGATAAGGAGCAACCTACACCAGCGGTTGCCAAGGATGGCCGAAACCCTAACTTGTTTTCTTGAAGTACGCTCACTAGAGAAAGCGAACACGACCATGGATGACCGTTTGATCGTCCTAAGGGTACCTGTCTCATCAAGCCATTCTGTCGAAGTGCTATGCAATTCAGGGAGACGATTTTCACCAATATGATGGGTTTTGCCAAATTCATCTACTTTGACAACCACTGGAAGTCGTTGGTTCTATTAATTTGAACATTCAGATAGTGAGGTCGTGCGGTTTATTGGCCTGAACTCATTAGCTGAGACTTTCTCGAGGGAATCAGTGAGTTTCAAAGATTGAGCGTGATGTCCCAGTTAGTCAAATAGCTGACCGAAATTAGGATGTCTCGCAAAGAACATGTCCTTCTTATCGAGTGATTATGATGTAATGGATGTAGAAAGCAAGACCGCTCACAGAACTTTCGAAGAAAGTTGCCATCCACTTCACGCTGTGTTTTTGCGTATCCGAATCATTCCAATGCTTTTCGATGCCCATTCTTCATTTTTGTTGCGCTTCTTTATATTCAAAATGTGAAAGCTTTATAAGCCTGTGAAAACCGTTAAACTACATTGGTGGCCACTACTTCCAACCTTAACATTTCATTCCCTAGCATTCTCACAAGCTGTAACTATACAGTCGAGTCATTTCTACTCAATTTCAACTTCGCGTCCTCGTCTCCTGCTCGCAATCTCTGTCGTGGACGCACAAAACCACGAATGGCAACATGCCAAAGGCAGCGCGCGCGACACGCGCCGTGCGGACGGGTCTAGGAATAGAAGGCGAGAGATAGGACCTTCCCGTTAGTGAAGTGTGCAGGTCCGCTGTGGTAGAAGTGTAGCACCTTTTCCAGAAGTGCGCGGCGATGAAACTTGTTTTGGCACTATCTAACTAATAAATAATACCCAAACTTGCCCGAAAACAGGCCCTCATTTTGACCGACTTTTCTCTAAAGGGGTAGATTTGGCTAGAAGTTCGCTTTTGGGGGTAGTTCAATCTCTAAAACACGATTATAATATCTGCTTGACCTGACGCCACCTAGCACCCGCGTCACAGGCACCGGCGTCAAAACCCTAAATCACCGAATTCGCTGAAAACTTGTCCCCAGGGGTAGTTTGACCTCCTGAACACGAATATCACATCCGCTCGGCTCGAAACTGCCTGGCGCCCGCGCCACAGGCGCCGGCGCCAAAATACCCTAGATCACCAAATCCGCTGAAAACTTGAATACGGGATATTTGGCATCTTGATAACGAATAAGACATTCATTTATGGTGCTGGCGCTAATGGAAGCACCACGATCGTCTGTGCTCTGCTAAGGCCGAGCCTGGCCCAAAGAGGATCACTCCTTTTCCGGGCTCAGCCTTAGAGGAGCGCTAAATGACGCTGGTACCAAAAAAGAATGAATGCCATATCCGTGATCAGGGCATCAAACAACTCTATTATGCATGCTTTTATCGATTATGAAAGAAATGTGTAGTGCCAATTTGCGCGTGATGGGCACCAAACGGCGGCAGGGCTAAAAAGAAATTCATATTCGTGATCAGGGTACCGAAGAACCCCATTGTGCAAATTTACACCATTCTTTTGAGACAAGTGGGTAGCGCCGAATTGGCGCCAAGTGACGCCAACGGCGAAAACGAACGTCATACTCATGACCAGGGCATCGTATTACCCTTTCACCATTTCACCAAGAATTTGTTGAGTTCTATATGCAGTAATTGTTGAATAATGTGTAATAATGTCTGAATGCTCCTTATTTCTCCATACTGCTCCTTGACACACAAGCAACAATCACGCCATACGGTCAGCGCCTGCCTTCACGACTTATTTGTAGTGTAGTTTGCTGCGGACGAAGGGGCGTGTCAGGCAGAATGAGTTTGGCGCGGTGCCAAACCCGTTCTCCACCAGTTGTTGAAGCGAGCAAGTGACAAGACTATCATATCGTTCGT